ATCAAGTGCAAATGCTGCGTTCAAGTCCTCCTGGGACGTTCGTACTTACGAGTTGACAAGTCGTAATTACGACGTCAGGTGTGTTCAAGTCAGTTTAGTTGGCACAAGATGGCGGTGTACCTTCTTTTAATAAATTACAAGAAAATACAACAGGGTCTGCATTTTTTTACTTGGATTTCAGCTGCGTAACAAGAACATGACCAATTTAAGTTTATAGGCCAACTAAACTATCAATTTAAACAAAAATTTATCATCAACTACAGACGTCGCATCCATCGATTCCGCCATGTTTCTCATTGATACGCCCCCAACTCGGAAACTCGGGGCTTAAAGAAAATGTTGAGTTTCCCACTCGTAATAACAACTTTGTGGTGGCGTTCATGTGCGTTCATCTCATAAATACGATCTATCCGACATGACTTGAACGCACCAAAAGACCGCAAGTGTGGGTATTTGGACAAGGCAAATCGCTGCTGCTTCCCAAATTTTGATGCTCTCCTACTTCCGGGTATGAGGCCGCAGCAATGTGTGCCGGGGAAGAGCATGATGAGACGAGAGTTTCTCACACTTCGTGTCCTCTGGTTGAGCTTCCGGATGAGTTTGAGGGCTCGTCTCAGGGCGAGTTCAGTTTCTCATTCGGGGCTTGAGATTGTCTCTTTGCGTCTGCGAGGCATCCATTACACATTTTGCCTGTGTGTTAACAGCAGTATTTATTACTATCGAATGTCTGACTACTTGACTCTTGGTAATGCATTTTGCAGTGTTTCTGTTCGCGAACTGAATTCTTCATCAAGCACACCATCGCTGGAAAGAAAAAGACTGGAAAACGAACACCAAAAAGTTCCAAGGCCTAGTTATTGACACTTTTTGCTTTCATCGGAATGAATTCATTCTGATTGACGAATCTGAACGTAGTGTTTACATGAACGCTAAATAAAGTGATCGGGTTGATGTGCGCATTTATATGTCACAAGCTTCTGATCCTATTGAATCTTTTGACATGCGCACAGCACACTGCATGAATATGTCGCATTCTGTTTTAGAAAGCACATTTGATATTTATCTACTTCGGGTCCTAACATCCATTCACTTTGGATGTTTGGGCCCCCACCGGCAGAAGCATAAATCAGCACCTATGATTGTACTTGTTTTAAATAGCTCGAGTAAAACATTGAATCTGAATGTCAAAAAACATAAACGTTAAAGGGCTGGAAACTGCATAACTTACTGGTTAAGTAGTAAGCACTTAATATATCAATATTCAATATACTAAGAGAGAACATGAATTCTGTTTTGAGTTTTGTTGTGTCAGCAATGTTCTTATGCCTAAAAAGCTGTCCTTATGTTCTTATGCCCAAAAACAGTTTGTAATTAATATCACACTTACCATTCAAGGAGGGTGATTTTGAATTTTCTTTTAAGTCTTGAATATCTAAACCAGATAAAGCCAGATAATTAAATGATTTATTAATAATAATATATACTACTACTAATAAGAAGAATGAAAATGACAATACATTTAATTCATATAAATCTCACAATTTATTTAGCTTACCTTGCAAAGTTGGTGATTTTGAATTTGCTCTTACATTTTCATATAGTTCATCAATCTCAGCTATGGAAGATATTGAAGACACTGAATTTGACCTTAAAGTCTTTCTATAAAAGACCAGGGCCCTCATTTATCAACAGTGCGTAATGAGTGCGTATGCACAGTTTCACGCAAAGTGTGTGATCTACCAACTTGTACTTATATGTAGGAATGTGTGTATATATAAGGACAAAATATAGAACCTTTTCTACACACTGTTGATAAACGAGGCCCCAGATTTTTATAATGATTTGATTTTAATGAATTGATTCAGACTTGATATAATGAATCAGTAACTCACAGCCCAGTGACGAGTCCAGTTCAAATGTTTCTTTCTCTGTTTCAGCCCACTGGTTCTCTTCTGAAGTCATCGCTCTGTTTTATAGAAAATAACCTAAGGAATGAAATATTTGACCGCAGTATTTGAGACTCAACTCCTTACTTAATCAGTCTATCTATCTATAATTACACACAGAGATCAGGTGGCTACACAGCATTTGACCACTGGATTTACAAAAATCATTTCAGGTTTAAGTGTTTCAACATTGCATCAACTACTGATGAACACATTAATTTTTATTAGAATTATCACTATTATTATGTATTTATATGTCTTTGGAAGGCTTTTGTCTTAGAAACACATTAAAATGCACAAATTCACAAACTTTTTTGTCATCTGAACCTCTTTCACCTAATACATTTACTTGAAGTAAACCTGAGATTTTAAAATAAATATTTTAATAATTAAGTATCACATTTGCATGTTAATTGGTTCTCTGATGTTGGTCACATGACATGCAGGTAAACAAAAAATATTTCATTTTCTCAGTTTTTTATTTTGATTGATTTTAAAATGATTTATTTTAATGTAACATTTTTTTTGTGATTTAATTAATTATTAGCTTTTCATTAAACTCACAAACCCCAGTTTGGGAAACCTTGATGTAATATAATGTGTATGGCACTTCATGTCATTATTAACAACAAATGGAATATATTTTCTTACTCTTTGTATTTGTCAATATGGTACAAGATTGTCCTATTTAAATCAATGTGATAAACCAGTTAGGTCAAAAGTAAGCGAAAAGTAGTCTGATTAAATTACCTAAAATGTGTAATGTAATGGATTACATTACTAACTACAATTTTTGTCATGTAATTAGGAATCGGTAATGGATTACAATTTGTAAGTAATCTATATAAAGATGTATTAAAGAAATACTCACAGTGGTCAGAGCTGGTGTTTATGGTTCTGGATCCACAGACAGAGTGTAGAGTTCTTGAATCTGCGTTTCTTCACCACTGTGAATGACTGAGAATCCTGTTTAACCAGTGTCTTTTAAGGGTTGCACAAGCCCAATGAGAAGTCTTCTATCTGTCTTCTAACAGGCATTTAGATGACAAAAAGAGGACTAAACATCTTTCAGATATGCAAACAATTTCAGTAGTTTTAAGCATGAAGACACACTACTGAGTTAAATGGAAGGGTTGCTCATAGAGTATGTTCTTTAGTGTTTCATCCAGTCAGACACTTCCGCTGTTATCTGACACCTTTCTCAGGTATGCTGAGCAAACGTGAGTGGCATGAGCTGTTTTTTTTTCTTTGTGTGTGTGTGTGTGTGTGTGTGTATGTTTATACATAATTGTAGAAATTACATAATTGTCAGTTGAAAAAAAAAAGTTTCCTGCATATGGAAATATGGTTATAGTTATGGTTATAGTTATAGAAATATAGTTATGGTTGAATGCCAAGCAATCCTATTTGTAGTTATTTATATGACTGTGTTAAGTATTTCATCTTCTGGTGTGTCAGGGTGTGATATAAGTGACTTGTTTTCAGGAAGTGCATACTGAGATAACACCTGTGAGCCTAAAAGCCAAGAACAACAAAACAAACATCAAATGGTGTTATCTCTGATTGCCATCTGTTGCTGTTTTCAAAATGTGTTTTTCATTCAAATTCAACTCAGAGCTATTCATGTATATACTATAGTAATAATGTAAAAATATATAATAATATATATTTTTAAAAATATATTAATAATAATGAATTTGATATTTTTTTTGTACTGTATATAGAAAACAATGTGGCTAATTTAATGCAACACTAACAATTTCTACTCTCAATACTGCCATTAAGTGAGTAACATGTAAGACTGTGAGTTACTTTGGATGAATAAGGGATTGGTAAAATGACAGTTCAATAAGACTGTTTGACAAACTGTTGAATGCTTCTTTTAGGACATTTGTGTCTTTTTCACGACCCTCTGAATGGTACGGAACATTACAGTAGATACTTGCAGTTCAGTATATTCCTGTTGACCAGTGGAGGGGAATGGTGAGACAGGAAGAGACTCGTGATGGGGAAATAACCAGAGCATGTAGTCAAACCACTGTGTTACTCTAGTGCTAAACATCCTCCTCATGAGGTTCAAAAGAAAGAGAGAAGTTCTGTCAGACAGAAGGAAATGAGTCATCTAAATGAAAATTTTTAAGCATTTTAACACCCTTTATCCCAAATAAAAATGAATTTTCCACTGGTGTTTTCACAGATTATATGTGACTAATTTTTCCTTCAGATGTCTATAATCATGTTTCCCCCTCCCAATCAGTAAAAATAAGCAGATACGCAAATATTTATCTGAGTACATAATTTCAGATAATAATACCTGACTGAATTTGATGAGGCTTTTCTTTTTACTTTCATTCTTTTGTCACTTAATAATAGTGACCTTTACATTTATATCATATTGAATACGTTTTTTTGTAATTGAATGAATTTTGTAATTCATCTAGACTGCAGGGTAAATTTACTTCTCACAATCATATAAAAACTTTGTTGTGTGAATATTTAAAAACTCCAAAAATGTTATTCAATAACCTCATTTTTAAAACCAGGAAATATTTTGAGCAATATTTATAGTTGCAAAGATAAATGATTAAACGCAGTAGCTGAGCAAATTAAAACTTTTGGCTGCCTCCACAATATTTTTTTTTAATTCAGCTAACAATTTTTCAAATGTAAAAGTGTATTCTTCAGTTGTATTTCTACTCTGATTCAGCATTTTATTCACAATCATTATAGTGATTTCATTTGAATGAACAACATCGATCAGACTTCATTTAGTATTTGACATTAATGACAGTAGGCTATTTGTGGAAAAGACACAACCTCTAAAGTGGACTAAATGATATTGGGCATATCGATTTAAAAAATAATCCCTAAGCAAAGTCTCTGGCACATATGGCACATATTTTTAAACATTAGCCTACAATAAAAACAATTATTTTACTTAAAGGAAGAAAACAAAAAAAATACATCAGTAACCTAGTCCATTTTTAACTTTACACGTAGAAGAAAAAATATATATCACACAAGAATCACCCAAGTTTTGTCAAATAATTGTTTCTAGGTGGAAGACTTTTGGCCTGATGTGTGCCGTTTGGCTAGACTGATAGACATTTTTTGTTTGGCTGGATTCTCAGCCTTTTTTCTTGCATCATCTTCTTCCATTCTCCGGAGTTCCTGCTTTTTTCTCTCCAACTCTTGCTCAGTTTTGCAGTGCATCACCAGCTCTCTCTCCTTCTGTGCAATGCATTCCTTTCTACTCTCTAAAATCTTCTCAATTTTCTTCCTGATCTTCCTCTCTGAGGCCGGGTAAAGAGACAAAGCGTAGCAGCTCTTTCCATTGATGGCCATGAGGGTCTCGACTTTCTTCGAGAGTTCTGTCACGGGCTCATAGTTTGTCGTGTCCTTGTTATTGAAGAACAGGAACCCACCGCTGCACTTATGGATGAAACTGCGGAGCGCCTTGTCCGAGCACGCGATGACGTCATTCGCCGCCTTCCCCTCCAGTCGGTCTCCGTGAGTGAACACAATGATGGTGTACTTCCAGACACTCTCCCCAAACATGCTCTCGATGAGTTTATGCATGCTTTTGTCGTCATTAGTTAAGTTCCCAACAGGCATAACCAGCAAAAACACATGTGGTCCCGGAGTATACAGAGAGATGGACTTTAGGATCTCTCGGGTCACTTCCCTCTCCGTACGGCCGATTCTGTTCAGTCCCGGCGTTTCGATTATGGCCACGGGTCGGCCGTTGATGTTTCCAGTCGCTCTTTCACAGAACTGTGTGACTCTGCTCAGCTGCATGTCCGATTGAAAAGCGTTGCACCTGAGGACGGTGTTTCCGGTGGAGCTTTTTCCAGACCCTCTTGCACCCAGTAACATGATGCGCCATTCCTCTGCAGCCACAATCATGAAATAAGTTTTAATCATAAAAGAATAGTTTAATATAACTGTTTAATCCTCATAGTCTGTCCATGGTAATTTTAATAATTTGAAAAATGTAATTAAAATGTAAGTATCAGGATGACACTCCACTCTAAAAAATGCTGGGTTAAAAAGGGACAAACCCAGCTATTGGGTTGTTTTGATCCAGCGGTTGGGGTGTTTTGACCCAGCGGTTGGGTTGTTTTGAAACAGCGGTTCGGTTGTTTTGATCCAGCGGTTGGGTTGTTTTGACCCAGCGGTTGGGTTGTTTTGACCCAGCGGTTGGGTTGTTTTGACCCAGCGGTTGGGTTCAAAACAACCCAATAGCTGGGTTTGTCCCTTTTTAACCCAGCATTTTTTAGAGTGTACATGATGTTTCCTAATCTGATTATGACAAATGCTTAATATGCTTGATAAAAGTCATCCTTCATGGTAAATGTTAAACTACATATTCAAAAAGATTTTTTTTTTTTTTTTTTTTTACTTTTTGGGGGGATTTTTTTTTAATGCACAAGTTTTTGAGTGAACATTGCCAAAATTATCCACGAATAATGTTTTTTCCCCACTCAAAATCTGAAGTGCATAAGCTCAGATCAATGAGGCCTATGACCAATCATATCTAAAAATGTATATAAAACCTGTGCTAATTGAAAGAAAACAAGTTGACCAAAAACAATTCTAAGATTTGCTGACAATATAGAGCAATGAGAGATTTACAAGCAATTTTTAAAAGTTTGTAACAGGTTTTTAAACCTTAAACACCAAATTAGTTACAGGATTTTCAGCACAGCACAAGAGTTAAAAAGTTTAGATTTGTAAGAAAAATGTGGATGCCATCTCACCATGTTCATTTGTTGATGCAGTTAAATTGGTTTCCTCTTCATTTGGAAAATTTTCATACAATATTTCATGTGTTGCATCTGTGAATTAAATTACTGCTCAAGTCTAAATAAGACCATTTGTTGTGTAATCTTCAATCATGTTTTGTAATTAAAAAGACATTGATCTTCCTTATTAACAGTTAAAATGTTGTATGGAATAGTTACTATAATAGTTTGGCTTTTTGAGATGTCATAAGATGTTCTAAACAGACTCATTTGTGTAATTCATTGTGACTCACGGCTGGTTGATGAATCCAATGCAGAATCATTCTCATCTTCCTCAGAGTCATCTATCTCTTCATCTGACTGCTTACTGTCCATCTTATCATGAAGAGTCGTTATTTTCTAATGTAAAAAGAAGAGAATTTCAAGCATCACACTGCATAATATCACAAGTTTCCTATTCGGTATCTCATTTTAAGCATAAACCTCATTACTTTTGTATGATTTATGCCTAAAACAAGCTAAATGTCTCTGATCTGGTTTATGAAAAGTTTAGTTTCACTCTGCATCATCAAAGTATAACATCAAGGATAAAATAATTAAAAAAACTTACCACAGTTGAAGTTTAGAGTTTTTAAACCTGTTCATTGATAATGCATATGCAACGATCAGCACTAACACACTTGTGTCTCTTGAGTCGCTAGGAAATATGCTGTTTTCATCTGTGCAATGAAGAGTTTTTTTTCTGTTTGAAGGTAGGTATAATATAATCCACACAGGTATTGAAGGCTGGTCTTGTTGAAAGACGCATTCACTTAATTTGACAAGGGTTTCACTGAGACCCAGGACTAGTTCAACATGTTAGTCAAGTATATAGAGTTTGTTTGGCATGTGCTTTTCTGTTCCAAAGAAAAATGCCCCTCCAGCTTTGAAACTGAGAAACTGAGTAGATTAAACAACATTTGAAAACAAACCTGGAAATAATGCTACGTGTACCAATCAAGACACTTTTTTTCACTGTAGTCTGAGACACGGCTTTTACAGTATCTGTTATTTAATATCTACTTATTTTTTTTAACAACAAACAAATTCTTTTTTTTTTTTTTTTTAAATCTTGCATTTATTTATTGTTAATATGATTATTTATTGATGTATTTTCATTTTAGCTCTGGCAGATGGTACAGGAATCTTATTTTCAGCTGCTTTATTCCATAAACTGAACTTCATAACGCATATTCCAATAAAGAAGGCCAGTTTGAGTATTTTTGTATTACTGTTTTATAAGGATTTGAAAAAAGAAACGCATATTTACTTCCCCTACCAAGTGTCCATTCAGCGTAAATAAACTACATTTTCGCTTACAGTTCCCCTTTATTGAAAGCTGTGGAAGCGGTTTAAGTTTCTGATTGGCTACAGAACGCGAGGTCAAGTGCAACTTTTGTCCAATCATCGTCGAGGAAATTTCTACAAGCATTTCCATTGGCTAAATCGGACCCGGAAGCTTGACGTTAACAAGGAAATCTCTTCTCTTGAGCTGTGTCTTGGGCAGCACAAATCTGAACTCAGAAATAATATTATTTGCTTTTTAGTTACTTTGCAACTGCATCTTAGAGTTTCCGAGGATGGGATCTAAAGATCTGAAACTCCTAGATGTTTTTTCATACGAGAGTCTGGTGCACGCAGTCGCCGGTGCTATGGTAAAAACAGCTTCATTACTAAATATAAGTTATTATAAACTATATATACTTATCTGTCTGTCTGTCTGTCTCTGTCTGTCTGTCTGTCTGTCTATCTATCTATCTATCTCTCTCTCTCTCTCTCTCTCTCTCTCAATTTCAATGTAAGAGTGCTTTATTGGCATGACAAAAATTATACATTTGTATTGCCAAAGCAATTGCAGCTGGACTGCTTACAAATAGTGCACATGTGTATTTACAGAAAGAAAACGAATAATAATCTCTCTCTCTCTCTCAATTCAATTCATATTGCTTTATTGGCATGACATACTTAGGTACATATTGCCAAAGCATTGTACATAGCAGAATAAAAACAAACAAAACAAAACTACATATATGTATCCATAAACAAACAAAACAGAAATACATGTAAAATACATCCATATATATATTTATATAAACATTGATGGTACTACTAATGCAGATGTGTTCACTCTTTAACTCTTAGCTTGTGGCATTTATAAATATAATGTGCTACCAAAGAGGAAGTAGGTCCTTCACCAAGTAATATTCTTAATTTGTGGTTTTCATGGAGCGACTGGAACTCAGGAATGTTCTGCTGTATTTGACTGTACAGTGAGTCTCTTAAGGACGTGTATTTGTCACAGTGAAGGAGGAAGTGCTCCTCCGTCTCAACTGATCCTGATCTACATTCAGTACAGAATCGCTCTTCTTTAGGTAACCACGTGTTTTTATGTCGTCCTCTCTCTATGGCCAGCTGGTGGTCACTCAGTCTGTACTTGGTCAGTAAATGTCTGTGTGTTATATTCCTGACTGAGACCAGATAGTCAGCCAGACTGTACTCTCTGTTGAGTTTCAGATAACATTGGAGACGACTTTGGTCTTTGGTTTGTTCTTTCCAATGCTGTATGTATGTCTCCTTCTCTTCATTCATAATTTCTTTGATTCTCCCATGTTTTTCAGGGTTGGTGATATCGAGTGCTTTGTTAGTCAGATCTGACACCATTACACAAAGATGACTTTTTTGAGCACTCCTTTTTTGTGTTTTTAGTGCTTTAAAATGAAGAGAATCCTCCGAACTAGAGTTTAAGTGGATCCAGAACTTAAGAACTCTTTTTTTAATGATTAGATTTAGGGGGAGACGGCCTAACTCGGCTCTGCAGGCGTTATTAGGTGTGTTTCTGTGCACATGAAGGATGCTTCTGCAGAACTCTACATGCAGAGCTTCTAAAGGGTGTTTGTGCCAGTCCTTATGACTGGAGTTACTCGCTGGGCCCCAGATCTCGCTTCCATACAGGGCAATAGGCAGTATGACACTATCAAAAATCTTTGTCCAAATTCTGATGGGGATGTTTATTTTGAATAATTTCGTTCGTATGGCATGCAGTGCCCTGCGGGCTTTTGTAAGTAATGTTTTAATTGCCAATTTGAAATTCAGCTGGACTGCTTACAAATAGTGCACATGTGTATTTACAGAAAGAAAACGAATAATAATCTCTCTCTCTCTCTCAATTCAATTCATATTGCTTTATTGGCATGACATACTTAGGTACATATTGCCAAAGCATTGTACATAGCAGAATAAAAACAAACAAAACAAAACTACATATATGTATCCATAAACAAACAAAACAGAAATACATGTAAAATACATCCATATATATATTTATATAAACATTGATGGTACTACTAATGCAGATGTGTTCACTCTTTAACTCTTAGCTTGTGGCATTTATAAATATAATGTGCTACCAAAGAGGAAGTAGGTCCTTCACCAAGTAATATTCTTAATTTGTGGTTTTCATGGAGCGACTGGAACTCAGGAATGTTCTGCTGTATTTGACTGTAAAGTGAGTCTCTTAAGGATGTGTATTTGTCACAGTGAAGGAGGAAGTGCTCCTCCGTCTCAACTGATCCTGATCTACATTCAGTACAGATTCGCTCTTCTTTAGGTAACCACGTGTTTTTATGTCGTCCTCTCTCTATGGCCAGCTGGTGGTCACTCAGTCTGTACTTGGTCAGTAAATGTCTGTGTGTTATATTCCTGACTGAGACCAGATAGTCAGCCAGACTGTACTCTCTGTTGAGTTTCAGATAACATTGGAGACGACTTTGGTCTTTGGTTTGTTCTTTCCAATGCTGTATGTATGTCTCCTTCTCTTCATTCATAATTTCTTTGATTATTCCATGTTTTTCAGGGTTGGTGATATCTTTGAGAGTGCTTTGTTAGTCAGATCTGACACCATTACACAAAGATGACTTTTTTGAGCACTCCTTTTTTGGGTTTTTAGTGCTTTAAAATGAAGAGAATCTTCCAAACTAGAGTTTAAGTGGATCCAGAACTTTAGAACTCTTTTTTTAATGATTAGATTTAGGGGGAGACGGCCTAACTCGGCTCTGCAGGCGTTATTAGGTGTGTTTCTGTGCACATGAAGGATGCTTCTGCAGAACTCTACATGCAGAGCTTCTAAAGGGTGTTTGTGCCAGTCCTTATGACTGGAGTTACTCGCTGGGCCCCAGATCTCGCTTCCATACAGGGCAATAGGCAGTATGACACTATCAAAAATCTTTGTCCAAATTCTGATGGGGATGTTTATTTTGAATAATTTAATTCGTATGGAATGCAGTGCCCTGTGGGCTTTTGTAAGTAATGTTTTAATTGCCAATTTGAAATTTCCAGTGGGAGTTAAAACCAGACCAAGATAATTATATTGTAAAGCATGTTGAAGTGTGGTGTTGTTTAAAGTAAATATATGTTTATGTTCTAGATTTATGTTTTTTTTTCTGAAATATCATAATCTTAGTTTTTGGGATGTTGACATCTAAGGCCCAATCGTGGCAGTATTTAGTTAAAATGTCAAGGTTGTTCTGGAGACAGGCAAAACCAAAAATAAAACCTTTTATAAATAAAATAAATATAAAAATAAAATAAAATAAAATAAAATAAATAATAGTAATAGTAGAGCAAGTAAAAAAGGTACTCAAACTGATTAAAATAAATCATTGTGAATAATGACTTAAAATAATAACAATAATAATATAGTAATAACAATAACAATAACAACAATCGATAATAAAAATAATCACAATGATAATAATCATTGTGTTGTGATCAATCATCGTAGATTTTAGTTGAGCATTTTGTTGCAGAGGAGGTTTAGCAGTCTTTTAATTTCTCCCACATCACTAATGGACAGTAGTTCCTGAGCGGATGATGAGGGCGTCTGCTGTGACAGTACCTGGGCATAGCTGCGTGTCTGCTGGGATCGGCCTTCAGTGTAGAGCTGACTCTCCTGCTGTCTGTGAGACCATCCTGTATATTTGATATGGCATAATCTACAACACTGTTTCCGAGATCTGAGCTATAGGTAAATTGTCCGCAGGAGTTTCCTTTGATTCTACCATTTAGGATATAAAGACCTAAAGTCTAACAAAGGTGGGCTACCTCTTTCCCGTGCCTATTGACTCGAGTATCCTGGTTATTTCTTCTAGGTAGAGTACTGAAGAGACCTTGGGGTATATGTGTGAACAGATGTTTATCTCCTGAATTATCAATATAGTCTAATTCTGAGCCAGTTCGAGCATTTAAATCTCCACATAGTAAAATTTTCCCCAGAGTTTGATATTGATGAATTTCTTCCTGTAACGTGTGGAATACTTCATCGTCGTAGTATGGGGAATCTGATGGAGGAATGTAAAGTCCACAGATAAAAAGGTCTTTATCTAGAATTCCAAAGCTTTTATCCAACTTTAACCAAAGGTGATTTTTGCCTCGCTGTACTGGTGATGTAAAAGGGGCAAGGTCATTTTTTATCCATATGACTAAACCTCCAGAATCTCTACCACGATGTACTGAGTTGAGTTTCCATGAGGGCACTATGATTTCAGAGTAACTTGCAGGACACTGAGTGGACACATCTGATCTACACCATGTTTCTGTTAGAATTAGGATGTCAACATTTGTGATGCTATTTAAAAACTCTGTGTTTGTGCTTTTTAATCCAAATGTTTTAGAGCACAAACCCTGAATATTCCAAAAGCTAATATTTAACATTCGATATGATCAGCGATTAAGCAATACTGCTGTTTATCTGGAGGCAAAACCAAAAATAAAACCTTTTATAAATAAAATAAAATAAATAAATATAAAAAATAAAATAAAACAAAATAAAAGTAATAGTAATAGTAGAGCAAGTAAAAAACTGATTAAAATAAATCATTGTGAATAATGACTCATTTGTATTGCCAAAGCAATTGCAGCTGGACTGCTTACAAATAGCGCACGTGTATTTACAGAAAGAAAAATAATAATAATAATAGTAATAATAATATATAAAAAGTATTAAGCATGTAGTGCAAAATGAATTACTAATGTATGTAAGTATATAAACTAGAAATAAAAATAAAATAAGGGATTAGACAGATTTACAGAAGCAAAATGTACATCTAAGTAACATAATCGAGTAATATGGCATAATATAATGTAGATGTGCTGGAAACATCAGATCAGGGCAGGGTGAGTGTTTTCTCTTCTATGGTGACAGGCAGACACATATTGAGCAGCAAACACACAGCAGTTCTTCTGTTCTCCTAACAGATACGGCCGTTTCTCCTGGTTTGAAAGAGTTTTAAATGTCTGATGGATCTGCTGTACTTTATCATAGAACACTGTCCGTATATATGTGTATTTGTATCTCTCTCTCTCTCTCTCTCTCTCTCTCTTTCTCTCGGATACTCCCTTGAGTAAATTAATCAGTTTATTTAAATGTATTTGTTTGTTTGTAGGGCAGTGTTACAGCAATGACTGTTTTCTTTCCTCTTGACACAGCCCGGCTCAGGCTGCAAGGTAAAAAGTAAAACACATAAGTTTATATTCCCTTTTTTTGATCTGTGCTGCTGAGATTTCTTTTGTTAGTGTTTTAAAATATGTGACCGCATTTCTTTCTTTTCCTGCACAGTTGATGACAAGCGGAAAACTAAATCTTCTCCAGCCATTCTGTCAGAGATCATCAAGGAGGAGGGTCTGTAAGTTATTTCAGATGTATTGCTTTGTTTTGTGTCATTATCTGTGCTGAAAAGTCTTTCTCATTTCAGGTTGCAGTCATAACCGTTTTTTTTTTTAAATCTCTCTCTCTTTCTCTCTCTCCAGGTTAGCTCCATATAGAGGCTGGTTTCCAGTGATCTGCAGCCTCTGTTGCTCAAACTTTGTCTACTTCTATTGTTTCCATAGTCTGAAGGCCACCTGGCTGCAAGGTCAGAGGTCAACACCAGGGCGAGACCTAATAATTGGCATTGCTGCAGGTTTGCTTATTTGAAAAATATTAAATGCCAAAAATAAAAAAGGTTTCTGTCGTATATATATTTTGTGATTACAGTAGTAACGCTGTAATGGAGTAAAAACATTGATACTGTGAAATGTTAATAGTTTATGCTGCTTTTTTTCTTGTGAAAATCATGATATGCTACCATTCAAAAGTTTAGGGTATGCAAGTTTTAGAAACATACTTTTATTCAGCAATGATGCATTGAATTGATAAAAAGTGAATCCTTAAAATGATGATTTCCACAAAAATATTAAGCAGCAAAAACTGTTTTCAACATTAATAATAATAAAAACCTTTATTAAAGGGATAATTGATCCAAAAATGAAAATTCTGTCATCATTTACTCACCCTCAAGGTGTCCCAAACCTGTATGAATTTCTTTCATCTGTTGAACACAAAAGAAGATATTTTGAAGAATGTACTTGCTGGTAGCCCTTGACTTCCAATAGTATTTTTTCCATACTATGGAAGTCAATGGCTACCAGCAACTGTCCGGTTACCTACATTCTTCAAAATATCTTCTTTCATACGTGGTAAGACTAAAATAACTTTAAAAAACTGTCTACCTTTAGGTGTAGTGAATGTTCTTGTGACCACTCCACTCTGGGTAGTCAATACCAGACTGAAACTGCAAGGGGCGAAATTCAGAAATGAAGACATACAGCCCACACACTACAAAGGAATTACTGGTAATTATAAAAGACGTGAACCTCATTTCATTCCCTTTAATTCAAATGTGTGTCCAGTGATGATATTAGGTGATCTGTCTCTCTTTAGATGCGTTTGTACAGATCATGCAGCAGGAAGGAGTGGGTGCGTTATGGAACGGGACGTTTCCCTCCCTGCTGCTGGTGCTCAATCCAGCTGTGCAGTTCATGATCTATGAGGGTCTGAAGAGGCAGCTCATGAGGGGCGTCCACAGAGAGGTCAGAGCAGGCTACTGATCCAAGAACAGTTTTTAGGGTTTAAATTTGACTAAAATTAATAGTAAGCAACTTTAACAGCATTAAAGCTAATGCAGTAATGTAAAAACTTAGAATTATCTTCACTTAGAGGCTTTTCTGTGCATACTCAATTATGACAGCTTATGATTTAAACAGATAAGTCTATTCACAAGTTCTCTGTTGCCTGGGAAACAGTAACTACAGCATTTCTGATATTAAAGAGCATGCAGATGATGATTAGCATTCATGTGCAAGCATCTGGCGAGTATGAGTAAACCACCCCACATGTGGCTGTAGACGTGCATTGTTACCATAGCAACATAGCAATAAGATTATGTAACTCCTTGGCAACCATGGATGATGTCACAGTCCATTGAAGTTTAAATTAGAACATATCAGTTTCTTTTGCTTTGACTTTTAATGTGCTGCTTCCTCTGTGTTAACAGCGTGAATGAGTTTTCAATGTGCTAATTTATCTACATATCCCAGTTTCTTCACCCAAAACCCATTGGGTGTCATTTCAAACTAATATGACTTTCTTTCTTTTGTGGAAACAAAATAAAAAAAATAAAAAATGGAAGAATGTTTGCACTGGGAGCTCTTTACCAAGTAACAAAAGCAAATGTAATCTCTGTAATGTAGAATTGTACACTATATTTAAAGTCTTTATGTGAGGAACTGACCAAAATTCTTGGTCTCCATCATAACTGTGAATCTTATGTGCACTTGCACATATTCACACTTGACAAGACACAAGAATGATGTTTGATGTCACTGACATCAGGCGTAAGAAAGTAAAGACAGAATTTTTATTGTTTGGGTGAACTAACCCCTAACTTGACTATTTTTCACTATATTTCTGTCTGATTGTTTATAGCTATCCTCAGTGGAGGTGTTTCTTATTGGAGCCATTGCCAAGGCCATTGCAACCACCATAACCTACCCACTACAGACAGTTCAGTCTGTTCTACGGGTAAGACCAGCCAGGGGCCAGTTGCATAAATTAGCCACCAAATTAAGACTGTGTCTTAAGAACTAGTGTGACCAACTAGCAGTTGCCAAGGGGAAATCAGTCTTACTTTTCCAATACAAATAAGACCAATATACCTTTTCATAACTGAATTAAAAAAGTTATGTTTTTTTAAAAAAATTACATGACTAACTTTTTAAGACTAGTCTAAACAGTTTATGCAACTGACCCCAGAATACATTTGGTTTATAATTATATTCATGGGTGCAATATATTTGTGAATACATATATTTATATTTTATTAGATTATTGGTTCTCAACTGGTTTTGCTTCAGGACCCTGGTTTTATACACTGAACAAAATGCCCCCATTTGTCATGAGCTGAACTCAAAGATCTAAGACTTTTTCTATGTTCACAAAAGGCCTATTTCTCTCAAATATTGTTCACAAATCTGTCTAAATCTGTGTTAGTGAGCACTTCTCCTTTGCCGAGATAATCCATCCACCTCACAGGTGTGGCATATCAAGATGCTGATTAGACAGCATGATTATTGCACAGGTGTGCCTTAGGCTGGCCACAATAAAAGCCACTCTAAAATGTGCAGTTTTATCACACAGCACAATGCCACAGATGTCGCAAGTTTTGAGGGAGCGTGCAATTGGCATGCTGACTGCAGGAATGTCCACCAGAGCTGTTGCCTGTGAATTGAATGTTCATTTCTCTACCATAAGCCGTCTCCAAAGGCATTTCAGAGAATTTGGCAGTACATCCAACCGGCCTAGTCTTAGATCTTTGAGTTCAGCTCATGACAAATGGGGTCAAAAACTAAAGTGTTACGTTTATAATTTTGTTCAGTGTATATAAAATTGTTCAGAAGTTTGGGGTCAGTAAGACATTTTGAAAAAATAATACTTTATTTGAAAGGAACTAATATATAACCATTCAAATGTTTGGGGCCAGTAAGAACATTTTGAAAGAAAGTAATACTCAGCAAGAATGCATTAAGTTAATTCTACATTGTTACAATTTAAATTCATCAAAGAATCTGCATCACAGATTCCACAAAAACATTAAGCAGCACAACTGTTTTCAACATTGATAATAAGAAATGTTTCTTGAGCAGCAAATCAGCATATCAGAATGATTTCTGAAGGATCATGTGACACTGAAGACTGGAGTAATGATGCTGAAAATTCAGCTTTGCCATCAAAGGAATAAATTACATTTTAAATATAATAAAACAGAACCGTAATAAAACATGTCACATTGCACAGATGAATTTGCACCAAAAAACTATACAGATCGGACACGTGACCACTGACGTCAACGACAATAGATAAGTAAGGGAAACGTTTTTTTCCTCTTTTTTTAAGTGTTTTTTTTTTCGCTCTCGAAACTATGTATGGCTATATGGTTAGTTTCGTTTTTTTTAATTGCATTTGCGTCCATCAGTTCAGAACCACTGCGATAGACGAAACCAGAGAACCACACTTTTTCTGAAGCTATAATTTTGTTTGTGTAATGATAATATTGTCTATCTTAGTCTATTCTCATTTGTGTTTAGTTTGGACAGCATGGGCAGCCTGCAGATCAGTCCAGACTCCGGAACAGCCTGAGATCTGTCATGTACCTGCTGACCAATAGAGTCAGGTAGAATAACACACACGTTTAAAGGGGTCATATGGTGCGATTTCAATTTTTCCTTTCTCTTTGGAGTGTTACAAGCTCTTGGTGCATAAAGAAGATCTGTAAAGTTGCAAAGACTAAAGTCTCAAATCCAAAGAGATATTCTTTATAAAAGTTCAGAGTCAGCCACACCTACCTAAAACGGCTACACAAAATAATGTTCTGTTTAGCAGCATCATATGACCCCTTTAACTTGAAATATCAATAAGCAATACGCATATACAAATATCAGTTCTGTAGCTGTCACACAAGTTATTGTCAAGTGATTCATTGGCTTCTGGTAACATCTGAACTCCTCCACTCAACCTGAGATGCTTGTTGATTGATTTTTTGCAGGAAGTGGGGCGTGCTGGGATTGTTTAAAGGCCTGGAGGCGAAGCTGCTTCAGACGGTCCTCACTGCTGCGCTCATGTTCTTACTGTACGAGAAGATCGCCAACACCACCTTCAGGGTCATGGGGGTCAAACGCACAATGGCGTCCCACTGACCTCACAGGATGTTTATTAGCTCGCTGATGTCATAGGAACTGAGTATACCTGTTAGTTGATATGTGTTTTGTTTTTTGTTTTTTTTTAGAAATGGACAAAATAGACAGACACACTTGACTCAGTTTGTGTTCCTCATGATCTTTAAAACATTTTGATCTATAGGCTTCTGCTTAAAAATTATTTTCGGTAATTGAAATAAATAAATATACTGTTTGCTTCTAAAATAAAATATAAATATTAGGAGACAAATATTGTTGCTTTGAAATGTTGCTTTGGCAGCTAACTGAAGTAAATAATTAAGTTGTATGTACAAAAATGAAGAAAAAAAAAGAATTAAAGAAAAAAATACTTAAACACTAATATTAGAATGAAAACTGAAAATATAAAAACAATAGCTAATTCAAAATACTAATAATGCTTTATTAATATATACATAATACTAAAATAACACTGATTCAAAGATTACAAGGTTTAAAGTATAAACTAGATATAAAATGTGGCTAATTCAAGGAGGATAAAATAGAGAACATTTTTGATTTTTGCATAATTCTCACTTCCATTTGTGTTATTTCATAGTTTAATGACTTTACTATTATTCAGAAATGTGTCCAAATATTTGATAGTGTATTAATATAGATAATTATTAGGTCAATACCTTGGTCAGTATTTTATTTAGGTTTTTAAAGAGCATTTAAATATGAACTAGTTTTGTTTATGAATACCAACAGATCTGGACTGGTTTACATAGTGTCAAAAACAAAAAAATGCATGTGACAGATTTGTTTTGTAAAGATCATTGCTGTCGACTATGGAAGCTGATCTTAGATCAGCCTTCCTGCATTGATACAGTTTACCATACGAAAACAACTTCCAGGCTGGGTTTTTCTGTTTCTGTGTAGGTGATACTTGATTTTACTTCACAGCACAAAGCCACTGAGACGTAATGGACCTTTAACCTAAAATGTATAGAGTCTGGACATAACAAATAAATGTCATCTTTCTTGATAAGGGGATGTGAAATAACCACCAGCAAGTGTTTCAACTTCACAGGAATCACCACGTCTGAATTGTGAATGTTGTACACAGAAAGTTTAAGACACCAAGGCTCAGGTACATGCTTTATAGCTTTATATAGACTCATTGGAATCCATTCTGAATTTTAGATAAAAGAGTAATAAAGCATTTCCCTCTCAGCACTGATGTTCACACTGTACTGGAGTGTAAGTTGAGTCATACAGTTTTAGTTATGTATGAATGTAAAATGTTTATGTTTATTCTTGAATGTCAATGATTCTATTAACATTGATTAATATATTTATTAATAATCACACATCCAGGGTCAGTCAGATGATTCAAAATCGAAAAAATGTAGATTATTCATGTATGACTACTTAGATTTCATAATTGATGTCACATAAAAGTTGTGTAATATGTTTCTACAATAAAATAATTGATCAATGATAATGTGGTATGAAATTGATTGTTTTGCGTAAGTTTTATCTTTGCGTTCAATGGAAACAACCTATATTTTAATAGGGTCAGAAAGACAATTGCATAAATTGGCCTCCAGGAGGCAGTAAGATCACTCTTTTTGTGCTGTACTTCAACTAAAAACTCAAAGGGAAAATTAAATTTTCCATGACTTGATTATTTATTAAAGATTTTTTTTTATAATGATTTATTCATCCATTCATTTTAATTAAAATAATTAAAATGTTTTTGCTATAAAAATGTTTTTACTGATTACACACTTATTGTTACTACTGTTATCATTATAATTATTATGACTATTGCTAATGTTGGTAGGCAATGCATTGTCTTCCTTCAGGGGTTGCTTGAGTGCTCAGAAAGCCGAATCCTCCATTTTGAGAAAATAAAAATAAAAAAAAAATTAAATGTAAATAAGATATTTATGCACTTTAAAGTAGACTATAGTATTTAAATATTAATTAAATTAAAACAATTTAATATTACATTTTTATTGCATCAATAATAATGTACTTGCTAATTAACATGTTACACATCTATTCCTATGGTAAAATCTCAACGCTGAGCGTTCCACCACAACCGGTGAGCTTTCTAATTGGCCCACTTATTCCCCCGAGAACATCGAGCAGCGATATGATTGGCTTAGTCGATTGTCGTTCCACACTGTCTATTATAATTAGACCTCGTCCGTCCCTGTCGCGGGAGTCATCTGAATGAGCCTATTGGCTATCCGCAATACCATTCTTCAGAGTACTCGCCCACTATTGGATGAGTCCTAAAAACAGGCGGGGTTCCGGTTGAAGTTTACTGGATATCGGAAACGTTCAGTGGAGAGCAGACCAGTGTAATACTAATACATGGGATGGATCAAGCACTGTAAGGTAAGACAACTGTTAAACTTATTATTTTTAAGACTTAATTTGACACGCAGCCGCTGTGCATGCGCAGTAATTTCTTCGAATACTTTCAGGGTGTTTAATATTGCATTATAAGCTTGCTGGAAGTTGTACTGTGGAGTTGGGAGCAGCAAGCACATGGCCTGGGTTTGCTTGTCGGGTTACTGTGCCATATGTTTGCTGGGTGAAACAGCATCTTTTTTGGGCTGTCAAACGTATGACTGAAGGTTATAAGGGATACAGGACACCTTGGCCACAGTGGGCAAGGGAGGGTGCTTGTGGTCCTGATGCTGTGAAGGTGGGTCTGTTATGTAACATGCATCATGGCATGGTGTCTTTATTCTTTTATTGCATGCATCTGTCATTAGGTGGGTTGGCTTGTTATGACAGCTCTTAACATATGTTATTTAGGGCTTTTTAGGTGTGTTATTTTGCCTTTGGGTCAAAAGTACTATGGTATTGCTGTAGTATTTTGGACATGGTAATACCATGTTTTCTGCACTTTTACCATGTAAATACCACAGTGTATGAATACTGCAATCATACAGTACCAAGATGTGTTGGAGTATCATGGTAACACCATCATATTCAGGCTCTTTACTTTTTGTCTGGTCATAAAAATGCATTTGAACTACATAACTGCATTATACCGTTATAAACACTAGTGTAATGTCCTGTTTTGCATTAACGTTAATGGTTTAAGTCAAATGCTTTTTAAGCTTGTTAGGGTTTAAGGTTTTGTTGTAAGTGTCTTGAGATGTATTGCATGACGCATGAGACTTAATGATCGCTCTTTCTGTCACATCAGCATTTTAACTGCAGGATGGAAACATGAATACACGATATTCCACACATAATGATACGGTTTATGATCAACAAGCATGACGTGTGTGTTCAAACTAAGTCAGCTTATGATTCATAGTGACAATATACAGTGGTGTGAAAAAGTGTTGGCCCCCTTCCTGATTTCTTATTTTTTTGCATGTTTGTCACACTTTAATGTTTCAGATCAGCAAACAAATTTAAATATTAGTCAAAGATAACACAAGTAAACGCAACATGCAGTTTTTAAATGAAGGTTTTTATTATTAAGGGAAAACAAAATCCAAAACTACATGGCCCTGTGTGAAGAAGTGTTTGCCCCCCTGTTAAAACTGTGGTTTATCACACCTGAGTTCAACTTCTCTAGCCACACCCAGGCCTGATTACTGCCACACCTGTTCGCAATCAAGAAATCTCTTAAATAGGACCTGCCTGACAAAGTGAAGTAGACCAAAAGATCCTCAAAAGCTAGACATCATGCCGAGATCCAAAGAAATTCAGAAACAAATGAGAAAGAAAGTAATTGAGATCTATCAGTCTGGAAAAGGTTATAAAGCCATTTCTAAAGCTTTGGGACTCCAGCGAACCACAGTGAGAGCCATTATTCACAAATGGCAAAAACATGGAACAGTGGAGAACCTTCCAGGAGTGGCCGGCCGACCAAAATTACTCATCCAAGAGAAGAAATCAGGAAGGGGGCCAACACTTTTTCACACCACTGTAAAGTGGGACAAAAGGAACTCAGACATCTTCATCATCTCACACAGGAGACTTTGAGATAAACCAGCTTCAGTTTATAAAAACGACCAGTATTTCCGTCAGTGTGTCTCTTATGCCTGCGTTCTTTTAGTCACTCTCACTTTCATGCTTTTTGTCTCAGGTTTCAAAGGAATGTTCCGGGTTAAAAACAAGTTATCAACGGCAGAAATGTGCAACTTGTACTTTTGATAAAGCACTTAATTCTTCCTCATGAAAGTATGTGTTGTTTAAGTCGTCTAAATGGTCCTTTTAGTGGTGGAACTGCTGTTCTAGGTGGATTAAGTTCTGGTTAGATTTACTGAAAAAAATCTAGTGTGTGGATTTCTGTCTATGTTAATAGTCCTGTTCTGGTATCTTTGTGCATTCTGAAGGATGAGTCAAAATTATTTTCTGTGGCATGCTGTTAAAATAGAGCTTTTATTGAGCCCAGAACATTCCTCTGTGCAACAAAAAATTATAGGGCTCAGCAAGGCCCAGTGTGAGTGGGTTTCAGGCCTTTGGATACCAATGTTGTTATTGTTTTGTTTCTTAAAAAAAAAAAATCTTCAGGTAATTAGAATAAAGCTGATATAAAAACTTAAAGACAAAAGCACATAGCAAAACTTTTTAACTTTAACTAAAGTTAAAATGAAAATTGAAAGTATAAAAATAAAAGTAATTCAAAATATTGATACATACTATAAATAATGCTAAAATAACATTGGTTGATACCGAACATTTTAGATTCATGGCCTTGTGCACGCATATTTATTCCTTGCAAACTTTCTGTGATGTATTTCACATTATCTTGGTGACAAGTCAGCAGAATTTGCAACAACAATGTTATCTAGCTGGCTAACATAGATGAGGTTTTGTGGAAACTTGCAAAAATGACTTATCTTAGACAGTCTTAGAAACATCATTCTCATGAAGTGTTGAAAACTAGGAAGCAGTGAGTATTGTTTTGCACTGTGCAAGTGTGTATTGAATGTTTTCCAGCAAAAGTTCAGGAAATTATGAAGTTACATTATAGCTGTACAAATTGATCATTATTTTGTGCTTAATGCCCCTAATGTAAATAGATCTCATAGATGTCTTTTTATTAGCTAATTTTGTGCTTTTTCTTTTCCTATTTTTCTTTCTTTCATTTAGTGGTGCCCCACACCTGGCATGGAATTACATGGACTTTTTTGAGCAGGAAATAAATCAGGTAACCGAATCACAGGCACCTACAACTAAACACCTTTGGGTATTTCCCCCCTCACATCTGCTAGTGTTTATTTTGCTGCTGCAT